TAAAAAGAAGAATAAAATAAAAGAGAACGAAATCAAATAAAATTTAACAAAATATAGAAGAAGGAATAACAAAAAATGCAGGGGAGGGGAGCGGGGCGGCTGTCAAGTTCTTCCCCCTCTTCTCTCCGGAGCCTCGACGACGGGAGGGAAAAAACGATGCCCCCCCGCAAAATAATCCAAACCACCCCCGAGAAATAATAATAACAATAATACTAAACACCCCCCCAAATCGCCCTCCGGTGCCTGCGGAGCGGCCCGGGAGCCGCCGGAGCGGCGGCCGCGCTGCTGGCGGGCTCTGCGGCAGCGGGCGCGGCGGGAGGGGTGCATGAACCCCCCCYTGCAGCCGGCAGCCCCGGTGCCTCGCTGTGCTCCGCCGCCGCCGCGCCGCCACTCTCATGCTGTCCCCATCGCCAGCTTTGTCCCCCGCCTTAGTAATTCGCGCATCCTTATTCAGATTTGGTGACGTCGCGGGCCGCGTCACCCGGGATGCGGCCAATGGCAGGGCGGTAACCATGGCAACCTCTTAATTTATAGCATATCTAAATTGGCTCCAGCCTTGTGCTTGGCACAGAGGGAAAAAAACAACGCGCCTCTATTGTTGAGGGTGGCTTGTACCTGGGCCGCGAAGTGAGTACGCACCTGGCTGGGGGGCCGGGGGGGCACGGCCAAAAAACMGCTGTCCCGCCGCGTTTCCTTTTATTCTTGTTTTGATTTGCGTTGATTTCTTTTAAAGGGATGCTCGGGAGGAGCTGGGGGGTCCCGAGTTGTTCTGGGCCAGGGCATCACCTGGTTTTGGGGGGGTTTGTATTTGTTTTGCACACGGGGAAGGGATGCTTTTGTTTGGAAGAGCAACAAGTGGGATAAAGAACGGGGGGGTGGGTTTGGGAGGCGGGGGAGGGGTTGGTGGGGATGGGGAGGAGGCCGGGGGCTCCTTCCCGCAGCGGAGCGGGATGAAAAGTTCCCCCGGAGGTATGCGGCCCCCCCGAGCGCCCCCCGCCACCCCGGCCTTTGTCCCACGGGCCCGCCGCCCCCTCGCCCCTTCCCCGCACCCCGCGGGGGGAGAGGGGATCGGGGACATCCCGGGGGGCGGCGGGCGCTACCCCCTCCCACAATGTGCTTTCTCTTTAATTCCAGGTGCGGCGGAGCTGCGATCCGCGGGAGGGACGGGGGGCASGACCGGCCCCGGCCTAGGGTCAGGGCGGGTTTTGGGGAGGAAATCCAGCCTGGGACCGGGGGGCTGCTGGCCCAGCCGGGGSCTCCCTGCGGGGTCGCTGCCTCCGTTTCCCGGGGATTTCGGGAGGGACGAGGCAGCCCTGGGGTCCGGCCGTGCACAGAGGAAGAGGAAGGTGGCCGGGCAGGTGAAGGCCGAACCTT